TCTAGATGCGACAGCCTACAATACACTAGGCTAGATGGTACAGCCTACAATACACTAGGCTAGATGGTACAGCCTACTATACACTAGGCTAGACGGGACAGCCTACAACACACTAGGCTAGATGGTATAGCCTATTGCTCCTAGGCTACAAATCTGTACTGAATACTGTAAGCAATTGAAACAGTAAAAATATAGCCTAAAAGATGGGGGAAAAAAGTACACTTGTATAGGGGACTTACCATGAATGGAGCTTGTAGGACTGAAAGTTGGTCTGGGAGTCAGTGAGTGCATGATGAGTGAACGTGAAGGCCAGGGACATTACCATACACTACACTTAGGCTACACTAAATTTATATTTTTTAGGTTTTTTCTTTAGGAATAAATTATTCTTGTTTTACTGTAACAACTATTTTACTTTACAAACTTACCTTTTTTTTAACTTTTTGACTTAAAAATGTGTTTATTTTATGTACAAAGAGCTGTCATGGTTTTTCATTGGGTAGATGCCTTGAATAAACCTTTCAAGGAAGATCACTTAGTCCAACTTAATGAAACCTTTACCCTTTGCATACTGATAGAAACACTGGTGGTACACAGATCAGGCCTTGCTGGTTTGAGCAGAAGCAGCAAGAACGAGAACCTTGCTGGAGCTTTCGAGGGTGGTTCCAGGACAGCCGGGGGTGACCCAACTTGCTCCAGGAGTGAAACGAGATAAAAGGCCTTTTTGACTTTTTTGTAAAAATACTTGGTTTAAAGCACAAACACATTATACAGCTGCACAAAAATATTTTCATTATAGCCTTATTCTATAAGCCTTTTCCAATTTTAAAAATTTAATTTTATTTTAAACTCTTTTGTTAAAAACTCAGACACAAACACACACATTAGCCTAGACCTACATAGGGTCAGGACCATCCCTGCCCTTGTCTTCCACGTCCACATCCTGTCCCACTGGGAGGTCTTCAAGGGCAGTAACACATGGAGCTGTGATCCCCTGTGACAGCAAGGCCTTCTTTGGGATCCCTCCTGAAGGGCCTGCCTGAAGCTGTTTTACAGTTACTTTTTAAAAAATATATAAGTAGAAGGAGTATACTCTAAATAATAGTAAAAAGCATGGTATAGTAAATACAAAACCCAGCGACAGTTGTTTATTATCAAATACGTTGTGCTGCCTGTAATTGTACGTGCTGGGCTTTCATACAACTGGCAGTGTGATGGGTCGGTCTACACCAGTGTCACATGAACGTGTGAGTAAAGCACTGTGCTAAGACCTTAGGACAGCGGCGATGTCGCTAGGTGACAGTGAGCTCTCAGCTCCGTTAGGATCCTGTGGGACCACCGTTGTGTCTGTGGTCTATCACTGACGTCATTATGCTGCAGGTGACTGGGCCCTCCTCTCGCCTCTCTTGCAGTTTCTCCTGCTTGCTATATTGTAATCTCCTTCGACAAGCTTAAGAGAACCTTGAAAATAGAAACTGCATCCTACTTATCAGCACCTCGCTTGGAAATCACTTATTCTCCATACTCCAAAATCACTCTCCTGGTTCTCCTGCTTCACTGGAGTGGCCGCTGAGGTTTCGTTCGGAGGCGCTGCCTTTTCTCCCAGCGTTTGCCTGGTGAAGAGCTGCAGGGCTGAGGCCAGGCCATCCTCTCTGGCTGCACTCACTCCTTGCTGGTACTACTGGGCGTCAGAGCCGTAAACGCGCTTTATACTCAAATGCCTTCCACGCGTCCATCTTCAGGGCTGAAATTTGCTTTGAAATGCAGACCTGTGTCTTCTCCAGTGTCTAGAGACGTTTCATGTTTGTCTGATATATGCCAGACACTTCCTTTCCCCGGCAAACTGTCCTCTGTATCCTTCATTTTGTTAAAAGTCACTACATGTGCACAGGAACTCAGGTCAAAAGCCTGAGACTCACTTTTGACTCCTCTCTTTCTCTCACACCCGAAATCCAATCTGTTAGCAAAGCCTGGTTTACCTTTAAGATAATCCAAGCTGCAGCTCTTTCTCACCACGTGCCTACTCCCACCATAGCATGGCCCGCACAGCCTTCCCCAAGAATGACCTCAGCACCTCCTCACTGACTTCCTGCCCTAACTTGTTCCCCTCAGTGTGCTCACCATGGGCCCTGGAGACCGACTCTTTTAAGGAGTGAATCAGCTGATGTCCTTGTCCTGCTCAAAAAGCACTCACAACTTCCAACACGCTGAGAATAAAATGCAAACTTCTTACAGTGACTTGGACTCCTCCATGTGCTCAGCCCTGTGGTTCACCCTCATGCTCCAGCCCCATTGCTTGTCTTCCAGGCGCAGCAGTCCTCTTGCTCTTTCCCAAGAGTGCTCCTTGCTCAGACAGTGTGGATTCCCTCTGCTGGACAGCCTGCCTTCAGGCACCTACTGGTGCACCGACCACCTCATCTCACTCAGGTCTCTGCTCAAATTGCCCTTCCACAGAGGTGCTCGTGGTATATAAATTGGAATTCCACCCACTCACTCTTTTTCCCCATCCCTTGTTTTGTTTTTATTCATAGCATTAATCATTGCCTGAAACTACATTATATATTTCATTCATTCATTCATTCATTCATTTATTCAGCAGATACGTGCCAAGCCTCTGCTTTGAGTGAGGCACTGTTCTAGGGGTGGGGTCTACACCCAATAGCCAAGATACACAAAGGTCCTGCTCACAAGGAGCTTACATCCCAGCAGAGGAAAACGGATCTTCAGCAACTTGGCAAATAAAGGAATCCTATACTGGGACGGTAGGTGCTGGAAGATAAATGATGCAGCATAAAGAAAACATGGAGACATGGCAGGTGGGGCTTGGGGCATGCCTTTTTTATCTGTCCAGTGAACATAGAGTCTGACAAGTAAAGCGACATTTGAGTAGAGACACTGAAGAGAGTGTCACAACCAGAGGAGACAGCAAGCAAACTGGTGTGACCAGGACATTAAGGGAGCCTGAGTCTTGACTGAGGGAATAAGGAAAGGCGTGAGAGGTGTCACATGGCCAGGACACATAGGGTTTTGAGACCCATGGTAAAGATTCTGGCCTTTACTGTGAGTGAAAAGGGAGGTCATGCAGGGCTTGGAGCAAAAGGTGGGCATGACTGAGGGGCCCGGGAGGAGAAACAAAGATGGCAGTTAAGGGCCCTGCAAAACTGCAGGAGAGACAAGAGACCTGCACCAACGTGGTGGGGGTAGAGGCAGTGAGTTTCAGATTCTGATACAATCTGAAGGAAGAACCAGCAGGATCTGCTGATGTATGGGGTATGGCGCAAGAGAGAAAGAGTAGAATCAATTTGACTCCATGTTTTGGCTTGAACAACTAAAAGAATGGACTGGTGTTGTTATTGTTGTTGTTGTTGTTTGAAACGGAGGAGAATGAGAGAGGAACAGGTTGAGAAGGGGCCAGGAAATTCATAGTTCCATTTGGGGCATAGTAAGCTTGAGAAGCCTGGTTTGGCTTCTGGTAGATATGTCAAGCAGGCAGTTGAATCTATGACTCAAGAATTCAGAGGAGAGGTTTGAGCATCATCAGCAAATTGATAGCATTTGAAAGCATGATATAGGATTTATTTATTGTCTTTCGGTCCTACCATGAGGGTCGGGACATTGTTTTGTGTTGTTCTATCTGTAATTTCCAGAAGAGTGCCTGGTGCAGAGGCATTGCTCAGTAAATATTTTGAATGAATGAGTGCTTCAGTAGACAGCATCTAGCACATGATCGGTACATTATAAATACTTGATGACTGAATGGATAATGGCTCTCCAGAGGGGTTAGCACAATACCTGGTATACGGCAGCTTTGCAATACATACTGGGTGGATGATTGACAGTTTCAACATGATTCTATACAGAACTGGATTGCCTGTCTCCAGGACCAGATGTGAGAACAAAGAAGCCATAAAATGTAAGGATTTCATGACCGTCTTTTTCTGTGAGGCTAAATTGTGTGTGGTGGTGGAATCTCTAGCAAACCTGGGTGGATCAGAAGTTGGACCTGCTGGTAACTACAGTTTAACCATAGAACTATGGAAATGGTGGAAGATGCCACGACTGCCCTCAGTAGAATGAGCACAAAGGTAGAGCTGAGGAAGAGGGAAGGGAAGCGCTCCAGAAAGAAGCAAGTTTCCTCCTCGCATCTCGAAATCTGCTGAAATGCTCTTCCCTTTATATCCAGACAAGGAGGACATGTGCAAATATTTTCCCAAAGGGAATGCAATTTCTACACTGATCCCCTAGGGTGTGCCATAAATATTTTAGAAGCATATCAATCTCTTGTTTTCTTACGATTCCCTTCTCTCTAGCTTTTAATCCAAGCTGCCTTCACCTCCTGCGTCTCCGTCCACGTCCCTTTACAGCTTTTATGTTTCCTTTTCCCTTCCTGTGTCTGCTTTCTGCTTTCTTTCTCCTATCCTTCCTGGACTCCCATTTCTTTGTTCAAAAATGTTCCCAAAAAAAGGAGAAGGGGAGAAAAGATGCACAGAGCATCCCAGTGGGAGAGAACTGAAGAAAAAGAATTGCCAATTTTGAAGAGCCTTTCCCTTTCTATTGCAATGTTTTGTGCTTGCCCATATCAAATCTTTAAAGAAAATACTAACATTAATAATACATAGTCTGCTTTGTTCAATTTCATTTTATCCTGATCCAAAGGGCTTGGAATGCAAGGTATAGGAGCGTGTTCATCCCATGCTTCACAAAAAGCAGAATGATTGCCCCCATCCTGCTCCTATGTGCCTCTTTTCTCATCTGTTTTGATTTCTGGGTGCAAAACAATTTCCGCTTATTGTGGGAGCACTGGCAACGTCTGCCAGAGCTTCCTAAGAGCCATGTCCCAGCTGTTGCCAGCTGTGCTCCCTGTAGGGTGCCTTTCCCTGCCGGGCAAGGCCTTTGGCTGCCTTTTAGGCCTTCTGATTTGCCAATCCACTTTATGATCTCTTGTTATGGTCACCTTTGACCCCAGAAATAACAGTCTCTGTTGTCAGATTCCCTTCAAATCCAAGAAGTTGTTGTCAATAACACTTCTGTAAATGCAAGAAAGACATTTTCAGTTGAAAGGTGTTGGGTTTGTCTTCCCATACTGCCGTGAATCATGCATATGCCCCATGTGCTGCTACTTATAATAAAACTGCATAACCATTACCTCTTTAAAAATAGATGTTTTTATTCTGTTTTCAATAGTGTTCATGATACTGGAGATTTTTAAAAAGTATGAAATAAAGTTATTTTCTTTGCAAAGAGTGAGTTCAAGTAAAAACTGATTTTAGTGCATTTATTTTTTCTTCTATTTTTGACAGCAGAAGACAAACAGGGATTTCTTCCCTCCCTAACCCATGTTCTTTTCCTTCCTGCCTTTTTCCAGATTGATGTCTACAAAACCGTAATAATTTTCTAAAAAGATGGTTCCACATGAAGAAGGCAGGCAAACATCTCAACAATTTTAGTGTCTTCAGTCAGCATAAGGAGAAAAAAATAAAACTCTAGAATTTCTATTTTGCAAGATTTCTATGATTTTTCTGAAAAGTAATTTAAATCCACTGTTGAGGACATGGTCATTTTGTAAGAGGGTCCAACCAAATAGCAAATAATCTTTAAACCAACAACAACAACAAAAATGAAAACCAAATATTTGCTGCAGAAACTTCCTTTCCTCCACCTCTCCACAAACGCCAGAGCCAGAGGTGACGCATGGGAATGGAATATGACACCCTGTAACTTTTCAAGACCCTTTGATGCTTTCCTTTAGAAGAAACAAGAGGAAGCTATTAATTGTCTTAGGCTCAATTTCTCACAACCTGTGCTTTGAGAATGAAACTCGGACTCTACAGGGAATACATTTCTACCAAAAAGAATTTTCTCTCTCAACAATTGTGGATGGCTCTTGTTTTTCCTGGAGAGCTTTTCTCAAAGTTCTACATCATTGTCACCTCCTTTGAATGTCTCTTCTTTGTAGCTTATCTGGATATTCATTTTGCGTTTAGGTTATACTAATTCATTTTATGTCTTCCGTTCTATTCCTTTCTGTTCCATTTTACCCAAAAAACATTTATTCAGCATACATCCATTAGAACTCTCACTTTTAGGAGCTCTCAACTGAGCAAGAGTGACAGGGGAAATGACATTTATAGTGATAACTATAAGACAACTACAATCTCAGAAGATTAATATTTTAAAAGAGATGTTCAAAACATACCCCAGGGATAAAGGGGAGAAAGTTGAAACAACTATGCACATGTTAGGGGAAGGTATTTGCTCAGAAATCAAACTCGAAATAAAAGTTTAATCCAGGAACTACATCAAATTATAATATATGCTCATCGGCTCCCTTAAGGATAGCTTACAATGATTTTAGTCTCTTATACCCACATTTTGCAAGGATGCACTCACACAGGACTGTTAAATTATCTGAGGCTTATGTGGGATGAATATTGTATAGAGTGGTTTAAAATCTTGTTCTAAATGACTGTTAAGCTAGGTTGATTCATTTCACGGAATTTTACTGATTGTGGATTTTGTGCTATGACAGGTGCTAGACGTAGCATCATGTAAGCAAAAACCAGCCCATGTCCCTGATGTATGGACAGTGTTAAGCATGTCTTCTTAATCATCAACATGACCTAGAATAAAGACATATGTGAATTCCCCCCACTCCAGTCCTGGCGCGGAAGCCGTGTGTACCATGCTCTTCATAGCCCCAGTCAACTGAAAGAGCATGGCCAGGCTGCCTTCCCTGTCTACGTTGTGAGAAGGCATAAAAGGATGGCTGTGAGAGAGGTCTCAAGAGTAAAAGTGCTATAAGTCTGAAGGGCGAGGAGTTATTAGAATAAGATATAGAAGCATTTTATAGCATGCTGGTAATATGCATCCTCTGTAAAATGTGTTTTATTTAGAGTCATATCTTTTAAAAGTGTCAGAATTATAGAAATACATATTTTACATTTTTCTGAAATGACTTCTAATGCTTAATGGTTCTTCTTAGGAAAATAATTTGGCTTCTCCTAGAACACTGTGCTTGTCCTCTTGAGCTATGGGGAAAGCAAGATAAGACACAGCAGGTTGGCCTCCTGCCACACTGGGTTTGATCAGTCATGCATGCCCTCTTCCTGGTTTGGGAAAAGGAGCCCCAAAATCTTATTCTGACAGTTCTCATCACTCAATAAGTTCAGGGTCATGCAAACAAAATCAGGAAGAGATTTGTGGGCTTTGTTACATTCAAATTGTGCTAGTATACAAAACAAAGTAGATCCAAGATTACAAAGTTTTGCAACTCTAAGGCTAAGAGAGTCTCAACCCAGTATTATAAAATGCTACTATGTTGGCACAGGTAGCTACAGAAAATTAAAGTCTTCACTATAGGAAAAAGCAAAGAGAAGATCACGATAGATTTGACGATGCCTTGCAGAGCCTTCCATAATGATGATCAGCTATCTCCTCCTCAATAATAATTATGAGCAGGTATCTTATATGCACTCTTAAATAAAAGCCTAACAGTAATACTGGAGAAAATATTCAATGTGTGTCAGTATGTCTCTGTGTGTGTGAGTGATGCTGAAAAATGCTATACCATAGAATACTATGCAGCCATAAAAAGGAACAAGATCGTGTCCTTTTCAGGGACATGGATGGAGCTGAAAGTCATTATCCTCAGAAACTAACTCAGAAACAGAAAACCAAAACCGCATGTTCTCACTTATAAGTGGGAACCCAACAATGAGAACACATAGACACATGGTGGGGAACAGTGCACACTGGGGCCTGTTGCAGTAGGGAAGGGGGAGAGGGAGAGCATCAGCAAGAATAGCTAATGGATTAATGGATTCTGGGTTTAATACCTAGGTGATGGGATGGTCTGTGCAGAAAACCACCATGGCACACATTTACCTATAAAACAAACATGCATATCTGGCATATTACCCCTGAACTTAAAAGCATAACAACAACAACAAAAAGAGAATAATATGGAAAAACAAAAACAGGGTATGGGGACAGGAAATGCTGGGGTGATGTGAGAAGATTGCTCTTTTATAGGCTGTGATCAGGAAATGTCTCAATGATTCGGAAGCCTTCTAAGAAGGGTGCAGAAAGAAGTATCAGAGTGAGCCATGCATACCTCTGAAGCAAGAACATTCCAAGCAGAGGTAATAACCAATACCATGCCCTGAAGTGGGAGGACTTCTGCTAAGGTAAAGGAACAGAAAAGAGCCTTTTGGTCTCAAGCGGACTGAGGGAAATAGCAATAGAACAAGAGGTCAGGAAGGTGACCAGGCCAGGTGACACTCAGTGTTTCTGACCACTGTTAGACCTTTGGCTTCCACTCTGTCATTCCTTGAAGCAACTACCAAAGATAGAGGAGAAAACTGCAGCACTACACCAAAATGGGAGGCTACATTCTGTCCTTCTCTTAATTTTTTTTAAAAACACTGATGTGTGGCACTTTGACATTTTTGTTTGCAGTCAATAGTCATGAAAAGATCTCTTCAAAAGCTTTCAAAATATATTGACTAAGACTCCACCTCTTTAATCGAACAAAAGTTCATGGTTTTAGAGAACATGAATTATTTAGAGAACATGATGAATTATTTGTCTAAATATACTCTATATTTTTATAGATTTTAACTCAACTGCAAATAAAGTAATCAAAGGAAGAGAAAAATACTCTGCTTCAATAAATCCATTTCAAATCAAAAGAAAAATAGTGGTAGCATTACTTAAATGATGGCTTAATGTGATGTTATATAGTTTAGAGGTTCAAGGAGAAATAAAACTGGAAGATTTCACAAAGTTAATGGTCCAGCTGATGTCCTACACATCAAGAACAAAGTCATCTATTTTTTCTTGTGAATATCACAGCCCTAATATATGACCATAGGTTTCCATATTCCTTATTTCATTGGAGTCTGACTATGCATTCATTATATTCAAGGAACCACAGTGATCACAACTCAAATTTTTGCCATGCAGCTTCAGGTTCAGTATTTTACCTATTCGATTTAAGACAGAAGAATCATACAACTTTTAAAGGAGAGAGTATCTAAAAGCAACATCTAAGGATGTGGATATTTGTCAAGATCACTTGGCTTTATTTTTACTCAATTCTTCATAGAAGAAGTTTGAATTTTCCTCCACAATTCCTCTGTAGTGGAAGTTTGAATTTTCATGTTTAATACTTTGAGGGGGATTTTGAAGAGGGTCCCAGTATTTTAAGATCATATATATCAAGACATAGTGCACTGCTTTATTGGAAATGGGACACTCTGTAGACTTGAAGAGGAATAAACATTTATATCTTGCAAAAGTTCGGTTGTTCCAAACCTCAAAAAAAAAAAAATGAAATCCAGAAGAAGGGGTATATGCTACACAAATGGATTTGCATTCAAATGTAGGTACAGTCCCTATGGAGATACAGCCCTTTTGGGTCTCGGGCAAAAGCCATGCTCTCAGAATTCTGGGAGTATGCTTCCCCAGTGGGTGGTAGCACACCTTGAAATTCAGTCAGGATGTTGATCCAGGCTGCTCAGGTAGAGAAGGAACAAGAACCAAAACTGGACAAGGCCACTAGGGACTAATGGTGGAGATGTGATGATTCCAGGCACAGGGGGCTGAAGAAAGGGTCCTCTGCCAGTCCTAAGACAGCATAGGAACAGGAACAGCACTATGCAAAGAGCAGAGGAGCAGTCTGCGAAGACAATCTAAGCTCCATTGACATGGGGGGCTAAGAGCAGCAGGGCTAGGCATGGCTGCTCATGCCTGTCATGCTGCCATCCTCAGAGGGGCTGAGGTTGAGGGCTTATCAGGGGCTGGAGGGGTCTTGCCTCATCACTATGGCATAGATTTCCTTGTTAGGCCTGGCACAATATGAGATACCCAAGAGCAAGGGGCCCTCAGCTGTCTGCAGAGGGGAGAACCACCTCAAGCTGAAAACCATTCATTTCACAAAGATGGGAGGAGCATGGTGATGGGCATCGCAGAGGAGGCGGAGGAATTCCATGCTCAAAAGCTCAGTCTGGAACTCGAATGCCTGGGATTGAATCCTATTCTGACTCTCACTGCCTGGCTGATCTTGGGCGATTTATTTCCTCTCTATGCCTCAGCATCCTTAACTGGAAAACAGAGATGTGCATTATAAGCATGTCACAGAGTTATCCTGAGGATGCAAGGGATAATTACTTCAAGGGCATGGTGGCAACTGGGGTAGAGCCCGGTTCATGCCCGTGACTATGTTAACTTCAGCGAGTTAACATCACGGTGCGTTCTGCCAACAGGGAACACTATTCAAACAATAAGCCAACATTCGAGCACAATGTGCTATTTCCTGATTCTTAGGCATACAGGACCCAAAGAACCCAGTATAGCCCTATTTATCTTGTCTGTGGCTTAAAGTCACATTTCAAAAAGCAGTGAAGAGGAAGGTAATAGGTTGTGAAACGCAGCTCTGAAGTTGCTTAATCACCTCATACATCAAATCACGATTGAGTCAGGACACTGATGTTAAAGTGAAGTCCAAAAGTGTGAAAACTAGGTAACTATTTGGGATCCTTAAGGAAATTAAGTCTTCATTAGACTGCGCCTTATATGTAGTGTCTTGTCTCCGTCTTATCATGGCCCCTCTGCAAATGAAAGTGTTCAGCTCCTCTAAGAATTAGTATTTATCAATCATGTCTCATTGTTGGATTAAATATATTAATAAAATCCTCATCCAACTTGATAGGTCTGGGGTAGAGCCCGAAATATGTCATTTTTACAAGAACTTAAAACATTCCCATAATCAGGCCAATTTAGTCAAAATTTGGAAACACTACAGCAGAAGATATGTAACTGCTGAATGTAACCTTGGATCCAGGGAACAGCTTCCCAAGCCAACTTCCAGTAGGAGCCAGAGGGTTTTGATGAAGCTGTCCATGTGGTCCTTTGGTCTTGTCTTCTGGTGCCTTTACATATTGTAAATCCACATGGTTCTCTTTTAAAATTAATTAATTATTATTATTATTTTCTTTAAGTATTCTGGGATACATGTGCAGAATGTGCAGGTTTGTTATGTAGGTATACATGTGCCATGGTGGTTTGCTGCACCCATCAACCCCGTCATCTAGGTTTTAAGCCCAACATGTATTAGGTATTTGTCCTGATGCTCTCCCTACCCTTGCTCCCCACCTGCTGACAGGCCCCAGAGTCTGATGTTCCCCTCTCTGTGTCCATGTGTTTTCATTGTTCAGTTCCCACATACAAGTGAGAACATGCAGTGTTTGGTTTTCTGTCCATTGTTAGTTTGCTGAGGATGATGGTTTCCAGCTTCATCCATGTCCCTGCAAAGGACATGAACTCATTCTTTTTCATGGCTGCGTAGTATTCCATGTGCATATGTGTCACATTCTTTATTCAGTCTATCATTGATGGACATTTGGGTTGGTTCCCAGTGTTTCCTATTGTAAATAGTGCTGTAATAAACATACATGTGCATGTGTCTTTATAGTAGAATGACTTATAATCCTTTAAGTATATACCCAGCAATGGGATTGCTGGGTCATATGGTATCTCTGGTTCTAGATCCTTGTGGATTCGCTACACTGACTTCCACAGAGGATTCCCTATGTAATAAATGGTGCTGGGAAAACTGGCTACGCATATGCAGAAAACAGAAACTGGACCCCTTCCTTACACTTTATACAAAAATTAACTAGAGATGGATTAAAGACTTAAATGTAAAACCTAAAACCATAAAAACCCTAGTAGAAAACCTAGGCAATACCATTCAGGACATAGGCAAGGGCAAAGACTTCATGACTAAAACACCAAAAGCAGTT